ATACAAACTTGTAAACAAACAAACTGGACCTGATTCCATACAGATCAAAATCTGGTCCAATCCTACACCATTCTCACAATCTCTACCATGTTAAAGTTCACTGCATTTACTGTGTCAATCTCATTGAGAATCTTTATCTCTTTCACTGACTATCTTTCACAGCATGATGCTTTTTCCCAAGGACTGGCCCCTTCTGACAACATGCCCAAAGTATGTGAGATAACCTTTCATCATCCTTGCCGCTGAGGAGCACTTCAGCTATACTCCAAAACAAATTAATTTATTCTTTTGGCAATCCATAGTCAATACTCTGTCAATATCACAATTCAAGACACCAGCTTTTCTTATTCACTATTTGGCACATATAAACAAAGCAATTGAAAATACTTGGGTCAGGCACACCTTAGTCCTCAAAGTGACATCCATGCTCTTTATTTGATAGGTAGGGTACAGGAAAAAGGGGGAAAGTTTATTTAAGTATCAAGAGGATATAAAATAATTTATTTCCACTCAGATATATACCTACCCCTTAGAGACCTCAAGAGGAAGGTTTTTTTCCCTTAAGATATATACATACTGTCAACCGACTGTTTTCTGTTAAAAGAGCTTTAGTGACATTGACTGTAACATGTTGTATTGCTAAGCAGAGGGCTGAACATATCAACTAGCACTAGCAGCTCCAGGGGAGAAACCTAGGCAGTATCCACACATTTTAGATTTAGCCTCAGAAGCTCAGTGGGGGGATGCTGAGTTAGAATCGATTTGGTGGCATTGAGATTTTAGTGTTTTCTGCTGAATGAACTGGTTCTGGACAACCTATTACTCAACGCTTTAGTAATACATGGGTCTCTGGCTGTAATCATCAGATGACTCTAGTTCACCTCAGTCTCTGAGCCCACTCTACAAATAAAGCCTTTCAATGAAGCTTAAAGCCTAGGCTCTACTCTTATACTAATCTGCCAAAAGAACCTCTTCCCATTAAAGATTATCTAGCAAAATTGCGCCACCACTATTTTTAGACTCAAACCACCGTCTAGTTGCAGCAAACTCACAGACCCTCCAGGGTTTTCTTGGAGGCTGTAAATCAATCAGCAAGATTGCCCATCTTTCTCCCCATAGAGCTGCTTGTGAATTCAAACCACCAGAAGTTAACAGAGTAACTTCCTAGACTTAGCCACCAGATTGTTTATAATAAAGATAGTAATTCCACTTCTCTTTACATACTGGTCTCTCTGGAGTTTTCCTTAGCCTAATTTAAGGTCACTGTTTAACACTGTTCTAACATCCTAAGCTGGATTCACAATGTCTTTTTCCAATTTGATGCTCCTTCCAGTCTCTTGAAACAATATAAGGCATTCTTTGCCAAAGGACCAGCAGTATTAGACCACTTAACTTTCCAAGCCTATTTTAACTCCATTAAGGCACTTAATGGGTCACAGTGAAAAAATTATCTCAAGATTTCTCAAAATGCTCCTACTATACCACTCAAGTCTCGCCCTCTTCCTCTCCTTTCCCTATTTATAGCATTGTTCGCTGGGCTTTTCAACCTCTTCTACCCTGTACAACTTATCTATGCTACATGCATCTCACTTTCAGAAGACTTCCTCTACCATTTTCATACTAGGTAGTCTCTACAATTACTTCCTACAGTTCTTGAAGAGGACTTATTTTGACATAAAATCATACAAAATCTGCTGCCTTTGCTTCCTGATTTATATGTTCTTTAGAAGAGAAACACTGTCAGCTGCTATAATTTTTACCTACCTTCTGTGTGCTCCCTCAGTACCTAATGAAGGCTAACACATGAAGTACTGAAAGACAACATTTTTTTCTGAATCCAAAAATTGTGTCTTTTTGTGTTGGTACATATTTCAGGAATAGGTGAGAGCAGAGTCAATTAACTCATCCTTTTCACTGATAAGAGATGACTGTCACCCGCTTTACTTCAGCTGCAAAATGTAGTTGTCATTTGCTACTTTATACTCATTCACTCACTGCCACCCAGACAGAATCAACTTCTAGCTGACCCTCCTCCAGGTTTCTGAAGCTGTAAATCACACAGGAGAATGACCGCTCATCTTACTTCCTCAGAGTTAGTGGTGGATTCAAACTGTCAGAGAAGCATGGCTTTTGGGTTAGCAGTACAACTGTTAGTCTCTACATCACCAGAGCTCCTTAAACCAGCATTTACTCACTTTACTCTTGGCCTCCCTACTATCAAACGAGTATGAAGTAATTTAGTCTGGAAGGACTATTCAAAGCCAAAAGCAGTAAATAGTACATTTTTTTTAAACTCTAATTTTTATCTTTAAAATTCACAAGAATTTTATATCCTGTTTCACAATTCATTAATTCAACAAATGTGTACTAAGCACCTTTAGGTATCTAGTGCTGATATGATATGCAAGTGGATGGCTTTAACTGAAACTTATTCTCCATATTTAGGAGTGTACAAGTCTCACTGAGAGCAACAGCTCTTAGTCAAGCTTTCTGTGTATTGCCTCCAGAGGAAGGTTCTTACCTACTTTCAACATCTGTAGGCCCTGAATTCCTTGGATATCTTCCTGAGTTTTGGTAGCAAACTTCCTTTTTATTCAGGAAGTTCAAAACACATGTACTTTGGGCCTAAAAGAGATGCTGTATTCCCAGGTATATATTTTTTATTATTTCTTAACAACATTTAATATGTGGCTAGAAAATGATACTTAGAAAGAGTTCTGATAGGTGTGTAGGCAGCCAATCGCAGGCAGAAAGTAAAAAATTTCCCCTCTCTCCAAAAGATCTTGTCCATACCAGATTGTATTCCAAGTTGCTACTTTCCTGAGAAGGGCACTAATGGGACATTTCCCCCCCCCTTGATGATAGTAAGGTTCTTTTGACTTGTTTGCTTATGTAATCTTATATCTAAACAAATTGATGTGAAGTATAACTTAATCCTCTAGATTGTACCCTGCCCATTAACATAGTCTAACCCTGCCTCATTAATAGGTTAGAAATACATAGGATAATTACATCAGATCACAAGATGAACAATTATATAATACTGACAATCATGGCCTAGCCAACTTGACACATAATTATTTTTTTTTTTGGAGGTGAAGGTCACTCAATTTAATGTCTTATCTATACCAAGCATTCCTGAAACAATTTAACAGTGAATGAACATTAGTTATGTTTTATTTTTAATCTTATATTTTATACAGCTTAAGAGGTTGTTGTTACGTGCCATTGAGAAAACACAAAATGTTTTCCAAATCCAAGAGCAAAACTGATTATCCAAAATATGCCAACTATTATTTCAAATACCAGCAGTCTTGCTGTTCCACATTTCCTGGGAATATGTGTGCTTGTTTGGAAAGGTGTATCTTTGGCTAATCCCCAGAAAATAAAGTCAACAGTACAGTATTTGCTCTGGATGAAAATACTTGGGTATTGTAATAGAATTAATCAGACTGTCTTCTTTTCTGGATTATTCTGGATGAAAAGTGTAAAATTTACTGATAAAAATCTGAATTCAGCCATCTGAATGTTAAAAATCTAACTGTAAGACAATTCTTTTTAACATCTTTTTCTAGGAAGATCTTAACACACACACACCCCAACCCCCAACACATTAATCGCGTATAAGGGAGGAGGGAAATGATTCTTGACTCTTTAAGGCCAAGTCTTCACTGGACTCAGAATTCTACTTTTTCGAACCTTAACTGAATGTCTTCTTCCCATTTTCAACCACCTGCTGATTAATTTTCCAAAGGCTCTCTCCTCAAAAAATGAAAAATCTAATAAAACCAACTTTTGAGATTCTTGCTATAAATTGTGAGCATTACTGTTATTCCTCAAAAATCCTTGAATTCCTTAATGACATGGCAGTTATTATCTATTTCAAATAATTGTTCTTAAATCTAAGGTCTGGCTCCAAAATGTAAGTTTGAGATTGATACTGCTGTTTGTGGAAACATGGCATCTATGATTAACTGTTGTTGTTATTTACCACAGAGTCGGAACCGATCCACAGCTGACCCTCCAGTGGGTTTTCAGAGGCAGTTAATTGCACAGGAGGAGACTGCCCAGCCTTCTCAGGCAGAGCAACTGGTGGCCTTGAACTGCATGCCTTTGGACTGCAGCTCCTTGACTCTAGGCCACTAGAGCTCCCTATTTTTAACTAGAGGCAGCGATTTTCTATAGGTAATTTCCTACTGGAGGTAAGAGTCAAAACTGCAGTGAACAGACTAATCCTGAAGAATCTTGGCTCTTCCTATCTGTACATATTTGAGCTTCAAGTCAGGTATTTCACAGTATTTTGAAGGGTTCATAATATGTAGATGCAGACATGTGACTGCTCTTACAGGCAATATTCAACCCCAAGAGTTTAGATTCCTTCAGACTAGATTACTAAATAAAGTTGAGAACAGGAAATACATTGATTTCAGGTCTTCACAACTGTAGGACATTACATCTTAACCAGAAGTGTGCATTAGATCCATCATGGAACTGATATGTAAGATCCTGCTGTTTTAAACTTCAGATTGGGGTTTAATGCTTTGGCGTCTAACATGAGAAGGATAAAGGACAAAAACCAAACCAAACCAAAAACTCCTCAACATATCACAGATGTTTCTAATTTAACTACTACTATAGAATAAAATTCTATAATTCAAATAGTACTACAGCATGAAAATTGTATTCTGGCTATCACATGGACTTACGGTTTTATAAAATGCTAAATTTATCATACCTAAGGTCTAAAATCTTTAAGGCTTAACATTTTGTTCATATCAATCCTGTGGTATGTTTATGAGTGAGAGGACAGAACCCAAAATCAACTATTACCTGCAGTACAGAAATTCCAAGTTATTCCAATTCACTGCATATAATCTCAAGCTTGTACACAGCAGTGGTCTCTCTTCAAGTCTTGATGTTATGGACAGCATTTCTCCCAACACTACAGTGATTCTAAATAGATAACTTTCAATCCCCACAGGAGGAATTAAACATTTTACATCTGAAATTTTAAGGTCAGTTTATTAAGTTCAATGATGAAAGCTATCAGAAGAATATTCTCCTGAAAATTCTTTTTTCTTAGAAAAAAAAAAAGGAAGGAAAATGCAACCCTCTCAGCACAGCCACAGATGCTGTGGCAGTCACACCACCCCACAGATGGGGGCAGTCCATTAGTCGGTCAAGTCACTCTCTGGGTCGGCAGGATTGTAGTCCGGATCATCCTCATCATCCTCCAGCTCCAAGTCATCCATTTCTTGGAACAAAGACTCATCAACTTCCACGTTATTTCCAGCTACAAAAGGGAAAGAGAATTTATCTTAATTCTTATGCAGGAATAAAAGATTTAATTCACTGACAACATGAAACAGAAACTTTCAAATGTACTCATGAGGTGTAAATGATAAAATATCAAAGTACAACTGCAAATTAAAAATGCTCTATCTGTTGTCTCGGTCAGCAGAGACTGAGACATTCTAGAATAACTTCAGGCTTCATCTCAAGGTCTAAAAATCCAGTCATAAAATCAAGCTTTCTAGAACAAATTTTATTTCATTTATAGATTCAAACTGAACTAACTATACTTTCTATTAGTTTCCTGAAAACCAGTTATATGCCTTACCAAGATTCTAAATGTGTAAGCCAACTAGGAACCAGTACATGGGCTCTGAATTAATATGCATTAAACACCTGTACTCTTTAGTTTGTCTGATGTAAATAAAGGTAAGGTACTAGAGCACTCTTAAATCATGAATTTTTTAGATCTTCCCTACCTCTCATGCTAGCCACAGCTCATAAGCATTCAATTTAATGGAAAGATGATGAGAACGGTTCTTGCTTTTATGTTAATAACAGTTAAATAGTAAAAACCATTTTGTAATCCTGGGCCAAAAAATAATTACTTCTGTCTGGTAGAAGTAGAAAGGCTTCACTGAGCAAAGATAAATTTATCTTAAAGATAAATTGTAATCCACTAGAAATAAAGGGTCCAGGATGAAGCAATTCTAGGCTGAGTAATGCAAAGGAAGACAGGAAAGTTAAGACCTTGAGTAATTCTAACTGGAATCCAGGACTCTTGTAGAAGAATATCTGAAGATAACGATAAGAGTGCCGTTTTCAGAGTTCTGTTAGTCAACCTTTGCCTCCATACAGTCAAGAACCATGAAAGGATTTTAAGGAGAGAAAAAAACATGATTAAGTTTTGATTTTATACCTATCATTTAAATGGCAGTGACTATCGAAGGACTAAGGAGGATAAATCAAGTAGGTAAATTATTTGAGAGCCTACAGGAAATCTTTAGTTAAACAAGATCGAACTCTCAAATCACTACAGGAAAGAAGGCATTTCAGAGATAGGTTTTATAGGCAACTTTTAGTAACTACTGAGTATGAGGAGATAACTGATCCATTAAATAGGGAATGAAGTCAGTAATGAATGAGGATACTAACTTCAAAAGGGCAAGGCAAACTTAGATCTCTCAGTAAAAAAGGAAATAAAAACAATTTTTAAAAAATTCCTAGAGGAAGATAGAAAAAGATATGTTGTAAGGTTTGTTGTTGTTGTTGTTATGTGCTGTTGAGTCGCTTGCAACTCAAAGCGACCCTATGTACAGCAGCCCTCACCTTTGTTCTATCCTGTGCAAATCTCACTGTCTCCCACACACCCACCTCAATTACCCCAGTCACTGAATCAATCCACCTCATAGAAGGTCTTCCTCTCCTGCACTCTCCCAAGCATGACGTCCCTCTCCAAAGACTGGTCCATCCTTATAACATGTCCAAAGTATATCAGACAAAGCCTCAGAATCCTTGCCTCCAAGGAGCAGCCTCGTTTAAGCCTCTCCAAGATAAACCTGTTCATTTTCTTAGCAGTCCAAGGAACATTCAATACTCTTTCCAGCACGACAGCTCAAAGGCATCAATTCTCCTTCTATCTTCCCTAGTCATTGTACAGTTCTCTGATGCATAACAAGTGATTCCAAAGACCATGGCCTGTATCTCGCACACCTTAGTCTCCAGAGTGACATTATTGCTCTTCAGCACTTTGGAGAGGTCCCTAACAGCAGACTTTTCCATAGCAATATGTCTTTTAATTTCCTGGCTGCTGGTGCCAAGAGTGTTGACTGCGGAGCCAAGCAAACTAAAGCTGTGAACAATCTCAATCTCTTCATCATCCATCCTGATGCTGCCAATTCGCCCAGTGGTGAGAATCTTTGTCTTCTTAATATAGTGCCTTAATCCATATTGATGGCTGCAGTCCTTGACCCTCTGCAGCAAGCACTTCAGGTCTTCCTCAGTTTTAGCAAGCAGGATTGTGTCATCTGCATAAAGCAGATTGTTACTGAATCTTAAATCAACCCTGATAGCACACTTCTCCTCATATAGCCCAACCTCCCAGATAATCTGTTCTGCATATAGGTTGAAAAGTATGGAGCTAGGACACATCCCTGGCGTATGTCCTTCCCAATTTTGAACCATGCAGTGTTTCCTTGCTCTGTTCTGACGACTGCCTCTTGGTCCAAGTGTAGGGTTCTGATTAGCATGATCAAGTGTTCTGGGATTCCCCTTCGTCTCAGAGTCAGCCAGTTTGTTATGATCCACACAGTCAAAAGCCTTTGCATTATCAAAGAAACACAGACATTACTTTGGTATTCCCTGCTGTCAGCTAAGATCCATTTAACATTAGCTATAATATTCCTAGGACCACGACCCCTTCTAAACCCAGCCTGGACTTCTGCTGATGTGCTGTTCTAGTCAATTTTGGATTATCTTCAGCAGAATCTTATTTGCATGTGGCATCAATGATATTGTTCTATAATTTCCACACTCTGTTGAGTCACCTTTCTTTGGAATGGGAACAAATATAGATCTCTTCCAGTGAGTAGGCTAAGTGGTTGTTCTCCAGATGTCTTGGCACAACTTGGTGAGCACATCTAGAGCAGCATCTGTTAGCTAAAATGCATCAAGGTTTAGGTATTGAATTTCTGAAAAGACTATGCTATGGATTAAATTGTGCCCTCTGAAAGAAATGGAAGTTCTAAACTATAATTAGGACCCTACTTGGACATGGAATTTTTCTTTTGATGTGTTAATGAGTTCAGGCTAGTGCAGGGGTGGATTCTAAAATGAATCACTTTTGAGTTCTACAAAAAACTAAACAGATACAGAGACACACAGTTGAAAGATTATCTACAAAGAAATGCCAAGGATTGATGGGAGATAAAAGAAATAAGAGTGTCACAGGAGGAATGAATACAGACAACCCCCAATTTGAATGTTAGCTTCCAGAACTGGGAGAATATAAATTCTTGCTCTTTAAAGCCATTCCCTTGTAGTTCTTGGAGCATGAAGTAACACAAGTACACTATAAAAATCTTGGAGCTGCTGTAACATTGAATACAAGAACATAAACAGTTTTTAAAATGTCACGAGTCAGGAAAGACTCGTAATTTAGCAGTGGACCACATACACATGGCTTCTTCACTTACTCCAGGAAGTAATCCAGGAGCAAGGCTTTGAGTCAGACACTAGCTCCTCAGCTGGCAAAGTGAATATAAGAGAAGGTTATTGGTGTGTTTACCTCTGACATGCTATTAGGTATGTGACAGAATATGGGGCTTAATCTATGAAACACACATAAGTTTATCATCCAGAATGGGAGATCTTTCTACACTGTTTTTTGCTAGATTGTCAGTGCTTAGCTAATAGTAAGGAGTACAGTAACTATTTACTTGTAGATAAATGAGTGAGCAGCAAGAAGGAAGTAGAGCTGGGAGAAAAGAAGAAAAGTACATGGGACAAGAAAGGCTAGTAGGGGAGGTACTACTTTTTTGGTTAGAAATGCGCTAGAACTCCAGATGCAGAAGTTTTTACAAGCACCATGACAGTGGAATATAGCGTCTCCACTGATTGTATTTATCACAGATCTAAGTATTTGCAGAAACACAATCACCTCAATCACAGTGGCCCAAATGAGTACTGGTGAGAGGTTACTGTGGCATTATTTTTCTATCTGTTGCTATTGCTGATGCTGCTGGGTTATCAGAATTTTTTTTAAAACCCAACACTGTTATAAATTACATTCAGTACAAACTGTACTGATCAATAACTGATCAGTAATTTTCAATTACTCATAATGGATTTTAGAAATTTATTCTTTAAAATGCAGTCTTAGATAAAAATTTTATATTAAGGAGTCATCACTCTGATTTTAAGAGTTTAAAATGAAAGTGTGTATTATATAAACATAGAATTCTAATATTATCTTACCATCCTCCAAGAACTGTATATCAGACGTATCAAGATTATGATCTGTTTCAAATAGCTGTTTCCCTAAAAGAAATAAACATGTTTAATGCAAATGACATATTACTCCATCACCTCTATGACCCTTTAAAAAGTAGAGTAAGAAAGCAGAGTCCAAAAGCCTGTGTTTTTCTGTGAATTTCACTAACTTTATAACCTAAACAGTTGTAGACATGCATCTGCACTAAAACAGGACCAATGAAAACTTAGTCTTTTGTATAGTCCTAGAAAAACAGAGTGGTTTGACTCTACTGCTCTGAAGGCTTATGATCCTGAGAGTGTTATGCTACTTCTATCTTAGGAGTTCAACACTTTTATCAAAGATAGCGAGGAAAATTAATTACCCGTTTTTGTGAAGAAATATCAAATATCAAAATGTAGATTTATTTTCTAAGTTTCTCTTACACGCACTACTTCACTAGAAGCCTGTCCAAAGAATCCCAGAGGAAGGAGGGAAGATGCCATACCTGTTAACTTATTTTTTCCTGCTTGTTCCTCTTCTTTCATCCGTTTCTTTTTAATTTCCAAGAGTTCTGCATCAAACTTGGCTTTCCAACTTAAGAAATTTTCAATTGTAACAGGAGTGCCATGAAAGAGTTGCTTTGGAGAAATACAAAAAACCACCACAAAAAAAAGATGTAAGTTCCGAGAGAACAATTAAAAATAAAAGCTGATCTTTTTCAGGCAAATGAACATAACTGGTTCAGGAGAAATGGAAAAATAATGTTTCAAATTATGAGTATTTACTATGCTTTCTGTTGGCATTGCTACTCCTATTGATTTTGGTAACTTACTTTGGAAGTTAATGCATTTTTTAATTTTTATTACAAAAATTAAAGGTAATACGTAATGTTTTCCTATTCAAAGAGATGAAAAAAAGCTGTTGTTGCCAATACTGACATATTGTGCCTACATATTAATTTTTTCTTTTTTAAATTGATTTTCAATCATTCATATGCATTTATAATTTACAACTGATCAATGTCATTTATCACAATGTCTCGTCAAATCCTCACCATATCTTGATTTTCCCTTCACCTCATCCATCCATCAACTAATCTTTCTGGCCCTAGCACTTTTTTTGTTCTTCATCCTCCTTTACCCTCCACTTTCCTTCCTTCCCCCTCCCCATTTGATGTATGTTCAGTTGCTAACTGCAATACATATATTGTCTGTTCATCTTTTCTTTCCAGGTTGATCTTCCTTTACTTTAATCCCTGAGTGTTCATTGTCTGTAAAATCTATTTCTGCCCACTGTGTCCCTAAAACCCCTCCTATAGTTAGTGTTTTCATACAGCATTTGTTCTGTTGTGACGTAGTTATTTTACTCAGCATAATGTCCTCTAGACTTGTTCAGTGTGTAATGTTGAGTTCTTTATTATTTTTAATGCTGTATAGTACTCCATTGTATGAACATACTACCATTTCTCTATTCATTCTTTGTTGATGGTGACTTGGGCTGCTTACATTTCTTTGACAGTGTAAATGTTGCAATAAACATAGGTATACATAAGCCTGTTGTGTTTTAGCTCTGATCTCCTTAGGGTACATTCTCATTAGTGGAACAGCTGGGTTAAATGGGATTTCTGTTTGCACCTATTTGGAGAAAAGCTGAGCTGTCTTCCATAGTGGCTAGACTGTTTTACAATCCCACTAACAACTCAGGAGATCCAATCTCTCTGCATCCTACCTAACACTGATTGATTGTGACCTGCTGAATTTTGCTGTTGTTGATGGGGTGAGATGGTATCTCGTTTTGATCAGCAACTCTTTAAAGTTTACTGATTTTTCTCTAAAGGCTAGTGATAATTCACATTTCCTCAAATGCTTGTTAGCCATCTGAATATCCTCTTTGGTGAAAAATCTTTTTATATCTTCTGCCAATTTTGTATTTGGGTTAGCAATCTTTTTCTTGTTGAGATGCTGTGGTATTCTATCTACATATTAATTTACATTATTAATATCACAGCTTTTCTATTTCACAACAAATTAGAATTTGAGATTTCCATTTTCTTTGTTGTTGCTGTTGTTAGGTGCCATCGAGTCAAGTACAACTCATAGTGACCCTATGAACAAAAGATCTGAACCCAGTCCTATCCTGCACCATCCTCACACTTCCTGACAAACAACAGCCCACTATAGCAGTCACCTTCGGAATCCACCTAGTTAAGGGTCTTCCTCTCCTTCGACAGCCCTCCACCCTTCCCAACATCATGTCCTTTTCCAAGGAATAAAACCTCTTAGCAATATGTCCAAGGTATGTTAGGTGAAGCCTCATCCTTGCTTCCAAAGAGCACTCTGGCTGCACCCTCTCCAAGATATTATCTATTTTCTTGGCCACCCATGAAATAAATGTCCAGTGCTCTTTTCCAACACCACAGATCAAAAGCATTCTTTTTCTGTCATCTTTATTCATTGTCCAGGTCTCAAATGCATAGCTAGCAACCATGATTCAGACCATGGCCTGAATCAGATGCACCTTAGTCTTCAAACTGAACTCACTACTCCTCAACAATCTGGAAAGGTCCCTAATTACAGATTTTCCCATTGCAATGTGTCTCCTTATTTCCTGACTCCTTGTACCAAGGGTGTTAATTGTGGATCCAAGCAAGATAAAGCTGCTGACAGTTTCAATATCCTCTCCATCCATAATGACATTGGTCTAGTGGTAAGAATCTTTGTTTTCTTGATACTGAGATGCAATCCATACTAAAGGCTGCATTTTTTGACAAGAGCTTCAAATCCCCCTCACTTTCAGCAACCAAGGTTGTGTCATCTGCATAATGCAGGTTATTGATGAGTTTCCCTCCAATCCTGATGCCACACTCCTCTTCTTAGTCTAGCTTTCTGGATAATTTACTCAGCATATAGACTGAGTGGTCGCTGTGAAGTTGAACACTGTGACACTGATGTGTCAAATGTGATAATGGTTACTCATGGTGGACAGTGTTTGGTGGCACTTCCTGGCTAAAACAAGCTTGGAAGCAGGAGTGGCATCCATTTCCGTAAATAGCTTGCCTCCGGGAAACCCTATGAGCCTGGAGAGAGGATGAAAGTCACGCAACTGTGGAGGACTTTCGTTCATAGGGTCGCTATGAGTCGCCTACGACTCAACAGCATTTAACAACAATAACATATAGACTGAACAGGCATGGAGACAGAATACATCCCTGACACTCTCCCTTCCCAATTCCAAACCATGCAGTACTCCCCTGTTCTGTTGGCACAACAGCCTCTTAGTCCAGGTACAGGTTCCTCATGAGCACAATCAAGTGCTCTGGGATTCTAATTTTTCCCAATGTCAGCCACAACTTGTCATGATCCACATAGTCTAATGCCTTTGTACAGTCAAGAAAGCATAAATACATTCCTCTGGTATTCCCTACTTTCAGCTAGGATCCATCTGACATTAGTAATGATATATGGTACCACAGCCTCTTCTAAATCACGCTTGAACTTCTGGCAATTCCTTACCTATGTACTGTTCCAGCCATTTTTGAATGACCTTCAGAAATATTAGTCAACATTTAAATTACTTTGGTTAGGGCTTTTAATTTGTTCATCTGTACCATAAATAATTTCTATCTGATATTTCTATGTTGTGCTTTTCCTGAATCATTTACTAACACTTTTCATGCTTTGCAATTGGCTAACTCTAGAGACTTCTAAGATTTACTCTAGTAAATTAGCAAAATTTTGTTAAGAGTTTTGATTTTTTGTGATTCCTGGGGGGAAAAATTAAAATGTCAAAAACAGGAGAAAATAAAAATTATACCTTTTCAGCTTCTTCTGCTTCTTTTTCTTTTTGTTTCTTTTCTTCTTCCCTTCTAGTTTTTATCTGGTCTACTATTTCATTTAATTTTTCTTGCACAGCTGACACTAAAGTAAAGATCATTACCATACCAAGGTTTTCTTCTGCCTGTGTGACAAAATGACAAGTTCTCAGAAAAATAACAAGAACGTATTCTTAAAATGTTTATATGTAATCACTAAATTCCACATATTCACAATATGATTGCTAACTTAGTTCACACAGGCCGTGATGGCATAGTTTTTAACAGGTCAGGTTGCTAAGTGTAAAGTCAGTGATTCAAATCTACAAGAGATTCCAAAGAAGAAAGAAAGACGGGCAGTCTCCTCCATTAAAGACTTACAGGATCAGACACTGTAATCAATTCAATGGGAGTGGGGGGTGTGTGTGTTTGTATGGAGAGAGAGAGAGAGAGAATGTTAGAGACTGCTGTATTGACTTTGACTCATTGTGACTTCACTGATAGAGTTTACTTGGCTATAATCTTTATGGAAGCTGGCTGTTTGATCTTCCTTCTGTGGTCTTTTTTGGATCTGAACCATCAGTCTTAAGTTTTGAAGATAAGCACTTGGCTTGGTCACCAATGTTAGGCATAATGATATACTCATTCCTCACTTACCAACTATCTAATTATCAAACATTCTATACATATAAAAAGAATTACTATCCAACTAATTTGCATACTAATTACATACATATAACAGCAACATACATGGGTTTGAAGCAAGAGTAACACTGCTTATGACTGTTAAAGTTATGCATCAACTTGAGTGAACCATGATTCTCCGTGGCTTGTTTAGAAGTTATATAATGATGATATCTGGCAGTTATATAATAATACAGTCATCCTCAGTCTGTTATCTCACATGGTCATCTTCTATTTTTGCATAATGCCAATGTCTGTGGAACTGAAGTATATCAATAAGTGAAGAATATGTGCATATTGTCTCTGACTTTTTAACTTATAACAGTATTTCAGTAAATTTTGCTTGATAATAATATATAAAGGTAGAATTCAGTAAATCTTTTCCAACAATAACTAGTAATATTCACTCTCTAAAATGTTTTCAGAGAGTTCTGATGGCCTAGTCTAAGGAGTTGTATTGCCAACCCAAAGGCACTGGATTAAAATTGGCTAGCTGCTCTTTGGGAGAAAGACAATTTCCTCCCTTGTCATTTGCAACCTCTGGAAAACCACTGCAGGAACCAATCCAGTTATATAACATAACAACAACATAGAAAACATAATATATTCTTCGTATTATATAGTTCCTTCTGAGCTATGAAAATGATCTGGACATTGAAGTCAAAGTGATTTCCTCATCTGACATAATATTAAAGAACTTAAGTACTTTTATAATATATCTTTACTTTTTTTCATATGCATGTGGTTCAATAATAAATATAAGTGTAGCTCAAACTGATGAAAGGGTTGTAATTCTAAAGTTTCCTTAGAAGATGGCAGAAGTTGAAGACAGAACAATATAAGGTAACATATCTTGTTTCTTCACAGACAGAATTCAAAGAAGTAGACAAAAATAACTTCAAAATACATTAGCCTGAATCTTACTACTAGGAGCAAATATATATATATATAAAATAAAATTTAGCAAGGCAATGATTTTAAGTACTTCTTTGACAAGGCTGCTCTCAGCAGCATTTGACTGGGTACTTCATCTTGTCTATGAAATAACAACAAAAACAATTCACTGTCAACAAGTCTGAACCAATTCACAGCAAACCAACTAGAGGCTTTTCAGAGACTATACAGCACACAAACAGGAAATGTCCATCACAGAGCAGTCAGTGGCCTTTAATCACTGGCCTTTGGGGTGGCAGCACAATTCCTTACACATGAGATCACCAAAGCACTTTCTACTGTAAGATTCCCAAATCTATGACTCTAAACAAACCTGTCAAGAGCCACACTCATAGAAAAACTGACTTCTGGGCATAATCATACGGTTATCTCCCAGGCACTCAACCTTCAAAGAATAATCTTCTCTCAAAATCTACTGACAGGTTATCTACCTCAGAGAAACACAGCCACCCTCCAAGCCTGAGGATTCTCATCCCATTAGCTCAAAGTGAAGAAGACTTAAAACACTTGCCGCAGAAAATCAAAGACAACAGCTTCAACATCAAAAAAACAAACATCTGCAACTCTGAACAAATGAACAGGCAGCACCATGATACATGGAGAAAAGACTGGAGTTGTCAACAATTTCATTTTACATGGATCCACACTCAATACCTATGGCAAAAGCTATCAAGCAATCAAAAGATATATTGCATTAGGAGTATCTGCTATTGAGGACCCCTCCAAGGTGAAGAGCAATGATGTCAGGTTAAAGACTAAGGCCTACGTGATGAAAACCATGGTATTTTCAACTACTTTCAATGCATCTGAAAGTTGGGAGTGAACAAGAACGACAGAAGAATCATCAATGCCTTTGAACTGTGGTGCTGGACAAGAGTACTGAATATTGCATAGACTACCAAAGAACAAACAAGTCTGTCTTGGAAAAATTGCAGCCAGAGTGCTCTTTAGAGGTGAGGATAGTGAAGCTTCATCTCACCTACTTTGGACAGGTTGGTAGGAGGGGCTACTCCTTGTAAAGGGACATCATGCTTGTACAGGTCAGTCAAAGATAAGAAGATACTTAACAGGACAGATTACAAAATAACTGCAGCAATGGGCTCAAGTATGTCAGAGATGATGAAGATGGCACAGGAAAGGACAAAGTTTAGAACCGTATGGGTCTTGGTAGATGCTACTGTACCTAAAAACAACAGCAGCCAAAACTCAAAAGATGTGTAACATTCAGAAAATCTGCTCCCTCGCCAAAGTGCTGAAGACCGCAATGTCAGTTTAAACAATAAGGTGTGCCTGAGCCATGCCATGGTCTTTTCAATTGTCTTCCAATTTGAAAATTGGACCATAAAGATGACAGAAGAATCTCTGTCTCTAAGTTGTGGTGTTGGAGAAAAGTACTGAATTTTGAGAGATATTTAATTGACAAAAGAACAAATAAATCTACCTTGGAGGAAGTAAAATCAGCATACTCCTTAGAGTCAAAAACGGTGAAATTTCATCTCACATATTTTGTGCATGTTGTTCGGGGGGCCAGTCCTTGGAAAATGACATCATGCTGGGACATTAAGGAAGACCCCCAACTAGATAGACTGGCGACATATTCACTGGCTGTAACAATGGGCTCAAGCCTATCAGAGATGCAAGGCTGGAACAGAACTAGGCAAACTTTAGCTCTGTTGTTCATAGGTTGCTCTGAGTTGTAATAGACTTGTTGGCACCTAGCAACAACAAAAATAGCATCTCTTATCAATTCATAATTATCATTTAAATTCTTTATTTCTTCTCTATTGTCTTATCCGTGCTCAGGACATTATCACCTGTTGCTTGAATACTACTGGAAACTCTTAACTGGTCTTTTTAGACCATAATGGTCTTATCTCTACCAATAACCTTCAGATTCTCAAACATACACATGCATCAATCACACAACCAAAATGGAAGAGAATTTTTTTTAAAAAACATGAAACTGATCTAAGCATTTTTCAAGATTCTTTCAGTCCTATTACTTGTCATCAGCTACCTCAAAAAGCTCAAGTAATTCAGTATAACTAGAAATTCCAGGACAAACGTATGATTTTTCTCTTTCATTTCTCTACCCTCAAATGCTTCCAACTCTCTTTTTTGCCTGGTGAACTCTTCCTTCTAATCTCAGTTTATAATGTCTCAAATTTACATCCTTACATAAAATAGTCCAGAATAGCATTTTTCACACACAGAGATGATTTCTACTTTGCTAGTCCATATTCCTCACTAGAGTGTAAAATTTGTGACAGTAAAGGTCACAGAACAATGCCTGGTACTTAACAAAGCATAATAACAATTCTACCCAAAATATTCTAAAATGATAGATTCCTACCTAAAACATTCAGTCCATATAGTGATTTAGAGCATTAAAATTCCAACAGAAAAACAGGCCCATTCAACTGAAAAAGAGACAACTCAAAATTTATGTGGTGAGATTTAGAAGTCAGAATTTTGTCAACATCAACTCACTGGATTTTCTGGTTTAATAATTTTTAAAATCATTATTAATTTATTTTAAATTCATTTAAAAATGAAAATTACATATTATTCTCACTTCTTCATCAATTCCTTCTCACATGAAAACATCTACTGCTAGTAGATGTCAGCAAACGAGTATCAAGAGGGTGTGTGCATAGAAAAGAAATTAGTGCAACGAAGCTGCAGATTAAGCTGACAGGTCAGAGTATGTGACATTCCTAATTATACATAACCTAGACTCTAGCTATTCTGTTTCCAGAGACTTTGCACCAGTAAACTAGTAAGTTATGCATTCTTTCCAGTTATTCAAAAATATGAGTGTCTACTACGTGCCAGGTACTAAGGATTCAAGAGAGTTCTTGCACTAAGAACTTACAAATAGGAATGTGTTTAAGGAAATGATAGTAAAAAATCAGCCAAATATGAGAAAAAATTTCAGCTGTTTTTAAAAGAATATGTGAATTTACATGTTGTTTTAAAATACAAAGATGTCAATAATATACTCGTCCATGACAAAAAGTTATAAATGCTTGACCAGAATGACAAGGCAAATGAATAATGAGAGTCCTGGTGATCTAGTGGTAAAGAAATGCACTGTCAACCAAAAGGTACGTGGTTTGAATCCACCAGCTGCTCCACAGGAGCACGAGCCATCTCTTTTCATATGATTTACTGCATCTGAAACCTCGCTAGAGAATAAGCTATAGGTTGGTTCTGACTTGACAGAATGGGTAAGAATAACAGCCTATGATAAAACCAGACCAAAATGTTCATAAAGGTAATTTATAACTGGTTGAGAGATTAAAAGTAATCTTTATCTTTTTTCATGATTTTCTGAGTTTTTTAGCTTCACTACTTTTTAATTGAAAATTAATGGAGAAAAAAGCACAAATATTCCCTGAAAGCATTTAATCTTGTGATCAATGCCAGAAAGTAATAAAAATTGTCTTTTGGAATAGAAGGAGTTGGAATATAAATAAAGTATTAAATACATAAAAAATTCATTCAGACTTAATAATTTAAAGTGTGAGTTCATATAGCATGACCTTTCCAGGTTCTCTATAAGGTTTTAAAATGGAATGTGCTGAGTCAAATGGTGTTAGAATTATAATTTCATAGTACGTGACATATGAACAGGTTCCAAGATCAGCCCAAATTCTTAACTGATAAATTTTATGTTGTTTTTCATTTTATAATAGCTCTAAATGTTTTTTAATAACACCCATGTTCAGAAAAACAGCAGTCTTTGGATTATATACTTATTTTTCTAAGGTATAGAGGCAACCTAACACAAAATAAATAGAAATTGCAGAGTAAATGACCAATATGCATGTAAAAATTTCCCAGAAATGAAACACATTAATTTCTGACATCCTTAGTCTCCACTACAGAAAATGAAAGCAGAACAACTAAAAGGCACATCATCAAAAACTATAGAAGAGCACTATGGTGAGAGCTTCTGCAAAGAATATAAAAACGCTGTGTCTGCTGCCCAATTTGCAAATTACTTTATAATTAGCCTTTTTGTTTTTAATTGAAAAAAAATTCAGAAGACCAGGAAAAAGTTAAAATTCCCAGAAGCTTTCATTAGAAGAAAGGAAAAAAGAGATTGCATACAGTGCACTGAGGAGGGCACTGAAAATTAACAGAAACACACATCTTCACAGCAACTATGAAAGCTACGCTTTCCTTCAAAACAAGGAGGAAATATCATTTCCAAGCAATAATGCTGTTCTCAGTCACACACTGATTAAGAAAGCTAATTCTCTTAATATCCTCCTTTTCAAGGAAGTACTGAAGAATGATTTGTTCTTTTAAAAAGGAAAAAAGAAACCAATAAGAAATAATCAGGAACAAGGAGGGAAGAGGTGAAAGAAATAGTCAGGATGAAAAGAAACAGATCAGTAACAGCACAGTACTGGTTCTATTTAAAAAGTACCAGGTATACACATGTGAAAGGATTTCCTGATCCTTGAAATTAATGTATTAACTTAAGGCCAATTCAAGTCAAATTTTAAAATTCTACTAGAAGACATAAAATGTTCTTTCCTTACCTGTGATGCTAATAATTTTAAAATATCTGATATGTCACCATCTGCTAGATTTTCCTGGGAGAATATTTCATAAAACGGAACTTCATCTGGGTATTTTTCACTATATGTAAACTTGAGCGTAGTCTGGACAGCTGAGATACAAGAATAAGAGCTTAATTAAATACAGATTCATTAAAAAGAGAATAATTTAAAATGTAAAATATGGAAAGATTAAATCAGTAATTACTTTACAAACGCCATTTAAAAACAGTACCAAAAATATTTCCTATGAAAGCAAAACCAGGTTATTAGCAAACCACAAAAATAATCCCCGACATAAACACCAAAACCAAACCTTCAAAAGATACATCATTTTGAAGAAATTCCAAAGAATCACTCCTTTCACACAGAATGTATTTATTTACTTGTCAGCATTTTACTGTAAGCACTGCATATCAACAAAGAGCTACTCATTTAAAAATCCTCCAAAGATAAACAGTACACACTGAACATGAAATTCAGACAAAATACCACTTTAGGCTGATTTCCAGGCCTCAATCAAGAGGCTAGCTCCTCGTTCGCCAATGTCTGCATAATGCCCACTGAGGTTTACAGAAAATCTGGTTTTGAACTGGACAGTCTGAGAGATTTTCTGGGAAATGTTTAAGTCTGCTCATTCCCACTCACCTTTCTGCCACACAGTGCATCTTGTCATCTTTCTTTTTTTTTGCACACAAATATGGTTGTAATGTTACTGCTAGAACAAAGGTTAGCTTATTCGTCTTTAATTACTACTATGACTACTACTAGAAACAATAAGGAAGCTCAGTGAGTTGCACTGTGAGGCCAAAGGCAATGCCTGTCAGTTTGAACCCACCAGTTGCTCCGAGGGAAAAGATGGGTTATATCTTCCCATGTAATTTACAGTCTCTCAAAATCATCTTGGAAGGTCAGCGATGAGTCAGTTATGATGTGACAACATCAGTGAGTGTGATTTCATATTGAAAATTTAGAAATACAATAAAGGAAAAAGAAATCACAGTCCTGCCACCAGAAAAGACTAATCATTATTACCATGTCAAAATAATGGCCTGCCAGTATCTTTGTAAGCAGGTCCCTGGAAGGTGAAAACAGCATTCAACTCTGGCAGCCCAGTGCACAGACATTCCACTGCTAACCAAGCCTGCTCACCTCCAGCAGTCCAAATCAACTCACTCTACCGCAGTGGGCTGGCGGTCTCCTCTTTGTAAGGGGAGCAGCCCCTGACACCTGAGGGACTACTCTAAATCATAATTGACCTGGCAGCAGTATTAATCGAAAGGATGGCTCACTGAATCTGGCTAGAAGGACTGCAAAAGAAATGTCTAGAAATCAGCTCTCAGAAAAGATTACAACGAAGAAAAATCTAATCTGTACCACAGGAAGAAGCCATGAGTTGGAACTGACTCCACAGTAGTGGGTGTGTTTGTGTTTCTCTTTAATGTTTCATACAAAGCTTTACATTGTAAGTTACATTATATTCACATGCATTTATAAATGTATTTTACAGAAATATACATAAAATTTCAAACAGGATCTTTTCCAATTTTTTAAAATATCCAATACAAATATAATTTCATTCCAAAATGTTACTATTTGTTAGTTACTTAAATTTCTCCTTCCCCCCACCTCAGTTAGTTAGGAAGAATGATATAATAAAGCATCTGCGGATGAAGTATCTTTGTTGCAATGATGCCTTTCTTAGAAAACATATTATACAAATAAAATTGTTATTGGATTATTTGTTGTTGTTGTTATGTGCGGTCGAGTCGTTTGCGATTCATAGC